CCTCTAAGGATACTTTCAAGCAGATTCCTGGCAAGATTATGTTCGGGAATGGAGTGTCATGGACTTGCCTAATTTCACTGGATCTGAGGAGAAACAAGAGGAAGGAGTACGTGTTGGAGAGGATGACGGTTCAGCCAGAGCTTCTTGAGTTACTCCATGATCTCCCTGTATCTGCCGGACTTGCAATCCGGAGAGATATTCGGGGAGTGGAGGAGTTTTACTCCTTGATTGCTGGTGAAGAAGTAAGGTTAGAGAGAGGTTTTGTTGATCTTACGTCTCTAGCCGTTCTAGCCAGGTATAAGTTCCAGTCAAGGAACATGACAGCAATGGGAGTGCAGGTGATTGGAACCCTACTGAACAAGAATGTTTCTACAGGAGATGACTGGTGGGGAGAGAGGTGGCAGCTGATTCCAGAGTCCCTGAAATGTTACGCGTTAGGGGATATCCAGTTCGGGTTCATGACCTACAATATCCCGGCAGGATTGTTGCTGAGAGATGTTTTCCCGGACCCTGAGATATTGTGCAAGTACATGAAATGCAACCAGAAGGAGGCGGCGGACTGGTTCCTGGAGTTCCTGATGGTGTCGCTGGAAGGAGTGGAGTACCACCAGAAGGCAGAGGAGGAAGCTGAGACAAGGGAGGAGATGGTTCTTTCTCTGAGGTATAGGAATGAGAGGGAGAAGTTGTGTGAGTTCTCTCCTCCTTTGATCAGGTTATGGACTCAGATCTTAGGGAAGTGGCCTGCTCCTACTTCTGGAGGATGTCAGTATCTACTGGAGGCGAGGGAGTGGTTTTTGGTCCAGATGGAGGTCCTGGCCCAGGTTGGTTATACTTGGTCCAAGGGAAGGAGGTTGGAGCCCCCTGGGAGAGAGGAGAAGGAGTATGCTAGGTTTGGACTGGAGCTTGAAGAGCTGGAGAAGCAAGTTTGGTCGAAACCTGTGGAGAGTGTCAGAGGCTTGGAGAGGCCGAAGGGGTTGAAGATCCCGTTGTTGGTATTGGACATGGAGAAGGTAAAGAGTAAGGAGATAGGGGAGAAGTGTACGAGGATAGGGAGATGCCAGAGATGGTCTCTTTTGGAGTGGGCCAGGATGAACCCTCAGGACCTGTACAAGTTCTTTGAGAGGATGGAGAAGAATGTAGGTTTCCAGCAATTCTATGGAGGCCTGTACGATGCCATGCGGCTATGTTACCGAAGGGTCATGGACAAGCAGGCTCCAGTGGTGGAGGTTACGGAGAAGAGGCTGAAGCTTGCAGTACTCCAGTCGCTGGAAGAGGAGTCTGAGGGTTTGAGGAAGTGCGAGGAGGAGTTGAGAGTGAGAAGGATGAGAGTTGATCGGTTGACCAAGCTCTCAGAAGATTGGGAGTATGAGGAGCGAACTCGGTGGAGAGAAGAAGTTCCTCTACCCAATCCCAAGGTGAGGTCTGGTGTGAAGCAGAAGAAGAGCTCTAAGCCGGGGAAGCTGAAGAGGTTGAGGATGAGGAGCTCAAGGGAGAGTGTGGTTGAGTCTAATGCTGAGGAGCCGGTTGGCCTCTCTCCGTCCCAGCCTTCTCCTGGTTCATCCAGAGGTAGGAGTGGGTTCGGAGAGAGTGTCTCCGGGCCTCTGCAGGAGGATGGATCTGAGGAGGTGGTGATGTTGGATGAGGAGGATGATGTGTTCTTGGAGGCTGAGGAGGGGAGGACAGAGAAGGTTGCATCTCCTAAGAGGATGAGCGCAGCTTTGAGGTTCTCCAGGAGGGTTGTGGAGCGAACCCCCACCTATGATGAGATGATTGAGGGATCGGCTAGGGTTTCGCTACTGGAGGAGATGGATCTAGAGTTGGATGTTCCCTGGGAGGACAGGATGTTTTAAACCATGTGTGGTTAAGTGAATCCAATCTCTGAAAAGATCCCAGTGTTTGTATTTCAGGTCTAGTTTAGTTGCCAGGAGTTCAGGTCGCGGGGTGCAGAAGAACTTTTTCGTTTGCTCTTAGCTGGGCGAGTGTTACGCGAGCCATGCTCCGTGTATGAAGTCTATTTTATGCCCCTGTGAATTTCTGAGTTCTCCCTGCGGATCTGTACAGAACGTATTGTGAAAAACTAGTTTTAGAAGCTGTTTACAGGCTGACTACGCAGGCGCAGGATTTCTCGCGTGGGAGTGAACAGTTTCTGTATTAGTATATGTTTATTTGTCTTGCAAGTGTAAGAAATTATAATGTAAGAAAAATTCTAGGATCACTGCGGTAATTATTTCTTATATATATGTATGTTTATCGTTTGATTATATTATGATTGGTATTTATAAATGTGTTTGTTGGTTCCTTGCCACAGTTTTTTAATGCCTGAGTGGATTATTTGTTGTATTCGTATGATTTATCACTCAAAGCTTTTTCTGTGGGTTTATTAAACTTATTTAGATTGAAGACTCAGAGAAATAAACGTTCGGAACCTTATTATCATCCTTTTGTTATGGAGAGCGTTGAGAGAAGGAAGTCTTACAATCCGGTCTTGAGAAATACCACACGGTATATATATTAGGTCTTTAGGGAAATCGCTAAGTAGCGAAACAGAACCCTTAATTTAAGAACAATCACCATTTAGAAATCTAAATTAAAGAACAAAACTTTTTTGTGGCAGCACACATGACCTTAGAGCTTGAAATTTAAGACAGGCTATTGTCATGAAACCCGGTGTCGCAACCCGGGTTTAGTAAATGGGTTAAGTCAATTTTGTAGAAACAACATTTTTGTTCGTAAATTTATTTCATATGATTAGACAAATGCATTGACCCCAAAAAAAGTAACTCGTAAGTTTTATTCAACAATACTCTCTTAAATTCACTGCTCTGCAGGGAAGGTTTAAGGCTGGTTGAAATTGAAAAATGTTGTCCCGAAAAAATGTCAATTTTAACGATTTTTGAAAATCAATTAGTAAAAAATAAAATAAATAAATAAATTTAGTAGAGCCTAAAAGAATTAAAATTACAATTGTTTAGATAGAAACTCCTAAAACAGTAATTAACAATGAAGTAGTCCTTCAAAAGTCGTTAATATAAAAATTCTATTTTCTGCTAAACCATTTATTTGTTTTAAAAATAGACCAATTCACAGGAATAACTTTGAATACATACAAGGTAAGCCACTAAGTATGGGATTTTAGTGATGATCTGAAACTAGTTTATGCAACGATCTCAAGATTGGATTAAAAGGATTGTAAACGTAATTTCAAATTAACCTCCAACTTGTGGGTTGGACATTTCTTGGTTCAGAGTCAATGGAGAAATTAACGATTTTTAATTATGTAGAAAACTAACCTTATTTAGATCAGATACAGGTTTCAAAGGTACTGTTCTTAATCGGGAGTGCTCTTATGTTCTGATATATAAAGGGTCCTTTAACCTTTTCAGTATTCAAGTGGCGTACTCATTGATTTGATATAATGAGAAACAATGTATTCAGTTGCAGGAAATTATTAATTTGATTCATTACAGTAGTGTTACCGTTTAAAAGTGTTCGAAGTTAAGGAAAATGTAAAGCCTGAAACTGACATGAATAACTCTACATAATATAGGAAAAAATAGGGTTTCCAACGTAATAGATAATATTCTCTTACGCGTAATTACCTGCAGTTACGCGTAATAATTGTCATTTCGTGTAATTTCGCAGGATGACGCATAATTGGGGAAATATTCATTTCGCAAAATTACGGCGTAATTTCGCCTAATTTCTACAAGATAATTTCGCGAAATTTCGTAATGATTACGCGTAATAAGGGAAGCTATAATTACGCGTAATTGCGGTGTAATTTCACATAATTTCTTCAATGTAATTTCGCGTAATTTTGTAATGATTACGCGTAATAAGCGAAACTATAATTACGCGTAATTACGGCGTAATTTTGCGTTATTTCTACAAGGGAATTTCTTGAAATTTTGTATTAATTATGCGTAATTAGCAAAACTTCAATTTCTCGAAATTACGCCGTAATTTCTAAAATCGTCAAAATATGTTTGACTTGGTTAACACGTACACGTACACGTACTTTCTGAGAATTAATATGTACTTTATTTACTATGGAATTGTTTCGTATTACGTAATTTCGCGTAATTACGCATTAATTACGCGAAACTATACTTTCTTTCGTAAACGTAATAAACGCGTAATTACCCGCTTTGCTTCTGCGTAAGTGAAAGAAAGTGTTACGCATAATTACGCGTAACGAAATTATGACTGGAAACCCTAGGAAAAAATCGTAGATACAGATAGATTGCGCATAAGACGACATTTTTCATCTTGAAAGATATAAATGTACAGAGATGTTTTAAAGATATTCCTATTATATAGATTAACTAGGTCGGTTGTGAACATTGACTGTTCTTATGTCAATGAGTACTTGTGGTGTACATGAGTTCTGTATTGATTTCTTTAGAATGACCGGTTTCAAACTACTCTCACTATATAAACTGTGTTTTCTTTAATTCTTTATTCATTTGGTGTTACTTGGTGTTTAACTGAAATAGATTGAAGTATTAAAGCAACAATTTAACATTGATAAGAACAATTTTTATAATGATTTCATATAATTACTTACACTAATGTCATCTATTGAGAAAGAAATCAAAGTAAGTTTACATCAGCGTCCATGGTTGGTTTAAGCCTTACTGAAGCTATACTTAGGATCCAGGCATACATATGTGCGTGCGCGTAGCAATTTGAAATGTACATATTCTATATAGTAAAATGGGAATAGATCAAATGCCTAATTTCAAAACAAGTTCTGTATAGAGAAATTTAAGTTAGTTTAGTTCTTCTCATGTCCTTCTTCAGTTCTCGTCAATATAATTATATTGCTCAGTGAAATATTGTTGTTTAAATAGTTCCATTCCCGGAGTTATTTTATGAAATCCATTAAAACACCAAACCACCCCGCTTATCATTGAAGGTCACTTTGACCCCTAGAAGTATGAGTTCGCGGACTGTACAATTCTTGGTGATTTTGCGTACATAAGCTATCTATGTTTATTTATTTATCTATGGAAAAAATGTATTTACAGTATAAAAATAGAACAGATAAGGTTTGATACTATTGATTTGAATAAAGCACAAGCTCTTTGGCAGACTCTCCGCCTTTATTCCACCTCACATGACATGAACCTTCCTCTTTTTGGTTCTTCGTAACGACTGGCAAATCCTATTTCCTGCTCCTTCGTGGATCAAGCCTATTGGCTTGAATTCAAATAGAACTCCAGGATCAACTGTAGCTTGGTTTTCAACGAGTTGAAAAACGTGTTAAAAGCATGTTTTCTAGGTTGGCTAATAAGCTGCCATGCTTATAGGCCAGACAACTTGCAATCTGAGCTTAGCTCCAGTTTCGTATGAGGACTGAAGGGGTTACATCAATAGAACTATCCAAAATGAGCTTAGCTTCAAGTCCGTATTAGAACTGAAAGGGTTACATCAATGAACCTATCCTTATTCCAAGCTATTGAGCTCATACTGGTTACAGTAGTCTCTCATGTTTCATCCTTCGTTAGTTATGTACACTGTACATTGTACAGGTGGGGGATGAGAATGTACAGGTTTATTGTCCATGTGGGAGATGAGTATGTACTGCTTGGTTCAACTAGTAATGGAACAATATTGTACAGGTGGGGAATGAGTATGTACTGCTTGGTACAACTAGCATTGGAACTATATTGTACAGGTGTATTGTACAGGTGGGGGGATGAGTATGTACTTCTTGGTACAACTAGCCATGAGACTATATTGTACAGTTGGGATATGAGTATGTACTGCTCGGTACAACTAGCCGTGGAATTATATTGTACTTGTGTATTGTACAGGTGGGGGATGAGTATGTACTTCTTGGTACAACTAGCGATGAAACTATATTGTACTTGTGTATTGTACAGGTGGGGAATGAGTATGTACTGCTTGGTACAACTAGCCGTGGAACTATATTGTACAGGTGTATTGTACAGGTGGGGGATGAGTATGTACTTCTTAGTACAACTAGCCATGAAACTATATTGTACAAGTGGGGGATGAGTATGTACTGCTCGGTACAACTAGCCGTGGAATTATATTGTACTTGTGTATTGTACAGGTACAGGTGGGGGATGAGTATGTACTTCTTGGTACAACTAGCCATGAAACTATATTGTACTTGTGTATTGTACAGGTGGGGGATGAGTAAGTACTTCTTGGTATAACTAGCCATGGAACTATATTGTACTTGTGTATTGTACAGGTGGGGGATGAGTATGTACTGCTCGGTACAACTAGCCGTGGAACTGGCAAGATTGCAAACTGTGGAGGGGTGGATAACCCAACTCATTACGTCAGGTTAATTAAACAAATTATTCAGTGTTAGATAGATAAAGTTTATTGCTTATAAAATACATGTATCTGTGTACAGAACGAGTTTACAATTACAAATTGATAATTATATTAACAGTACAAGTATAAAACAATTAGGTGGAAAATAGCTCTTGGCTGTTTTGATTATTTTGTCCACCTAATTTTAATAATGATAAAAAACATTTCAATTAAATAGATTTAAAAAGAACTATAAGAGATCAGGGTGTGATTTTATCTTATGCAAATTAGTTTATACATTTATTAGAATAACTAGAGTTTAAAGTAATTTTCTGACATGTACACAACAAATTTAAAAGCATATTAAAACATATCTAATTAGTTTTACAATAGCAATTCGGTTTATAACACATTGTAATGTAATTTTCAAAAAGAGAAATGTTTAGAAAACTTCAAGGTTTTCTAAGTCTCATAAACCTTGCTGAGTCTCCTCACCCGAGGGAGGTAATCCTCTGGTGATAAAATAATTCCAAGATTGAATTGAGTCTTCTGCAGTGTTGCCAACCAGGGGATTTTTTTTTGTTTTTGTTTGGAAATCCGTGGAATTTCTAATTCCCTGGGGAATGGGGAATTTCAAATTTTATTACTGCATATGTTCAGTACTATAATGGGGAATTATATATATTCACTACTATAAAAAATGGAGAATTTTAGTTGTAATGGGGAATTTTCAAGTCAGAAATTTGGAATTATCTTTACTGGGAGTTGGCAACACTGGACTCTTCTGTCTTTAATATAGTCATTATAATTTACTTACTGATTCTCCGGGTAATCATAAATATAAGGAAACTGACAGTATAAATTCCATAAAATGGTCTCTAAAGTATCTTATCTGTTGTGGCCGGGTAACCCTGTGATTGATGATTATCAAATATTGAAATAAAATTCAGTATTTTTTACACTCAGACAAACATGTAACTTAAGAGGATTGAAAATATAAAATGTTTCTATATTGTTTATTTAGGATTAAGGATATGGTTCCTTGGTTATTAAACTATATTGACGAAGAAGATCTTTGCTTTAAAGATTAAATCCAAAAATCTGTTAATGTTAGATGAGAAATATATTTATGAATAAAGTTTTAACTGGTTTACAAAACATGTTTTTCTTCAAGTCCCTCTCAAGGGTCTTAAAATTTCTTGGTTAGGTATACTATAGTTTTACTTATAATAGATGATGGTGGTTCCTTTATATTTTCTTCCAGAGTCAAAATTTAGCATTATAGGGTAACAATGTGTAACAAAAACAAATGTAGTCTAAATTATGTATTCTAATTATTAGTTTTTTACACTGTGTCAAATTTTAGTCCTAGTCAGAGCTTTAAGCAAAAAGAAACGACCTAAAAACGGACCCAAAAATGGCCCAAAATCGATGCAAAAACAATGCAAAAACGAACGTTATTGAACTTTAATTTTTTTGCAAAGTTTAAGAAAATCAAAATTTAACATAATACAGTTTTGAAATCTTCGATGTATTATTATTTTTTCTCTCAAAACTATCTTAAACAATAAACACAATTCCCACAAAAGACGCACTAAAAGAAATAAAACGGTGATTTGAGTTGGGTCTTAACATCGAGAGAGATTTCATAGATGAAAAAAAAACATAAATATAGGGCACATCATAAACAGGGCAATTTATATACAGTTTCCTATGGTTATTTCGTGAAAGGATTACTAGGGGCGTTCATTTAACAGTGATCCAGGGAATCCAGGGTGTTCCCATGATCATTTTTCTAGAGGTGTTCCTTTAACAGTTAAGGAGGGGGGGGGGTTCTTAAACAATTTATTTACTATAAGAGCTGGCCTTTAACAGTTTGCCAAAGGCGTTCCATAAACAGTGTGCTAGGGTTGTCCCTAAGACTGTTAGGGGGGTTCATTAAAAAGTTTGCTTTGGACGTTATTTGAAACAGTCTGTCACGAGTGTTCTTTTGACAGTTTTCAAGGGGGGTTCATTTAACGGTTTGCTACGGCGTTTCTTTATCTGCTAGCGAAAGGCATTTCTTAAACAGTTGGCTAAAGGGGTTCCTTAAAGGGACTGTGAGCGTAATTCATGGGTACTGTAGTAGGGTTAGGTAGTCATACAATTCTAGTGATTCTAGCTTCTGTACCTTGCCTACGTCAGAACCCGGTACAAGACACAGAGGATAGGGCACTGGTCCTAGAGCTGTCTTGGGATAAGTTCAATTCGTTAGTCCGGTTCTAGCTATGATTTAGCTGCGACTTCCTAGCTTAGCTATGATTTTCTTTTCGTTAGTCCAAAATCAGGGCAAGATTGAAGCTTAGGTTAGATCTGAAGTCGGAGCTAAATCGTAGCTAAATACCAGGTGATGGAAATCACACCTGAGGTTGGATTTAGCTTCGACTTCAAAGCTAAATCACAGCAAATGGGAACAAACTATTCGCCATTTTTAGGCATTCACCATGATTTTGGGTACAAATAAGCAGCAAATAAAACTACTAAAATTGCAAAACATGAAAATAGAGACCAGAAATAATATGCCAAGTTGCATTTTTTATTCTTTGTTAAAAATACGCACTTTGAACTCCGTTACAATCTCCCCCCCTTAAAACAATTTTTATGAAAAGAATCAGAAAAAACATATTTGAAAATTTTGAAGCTGGGAAGAATAGAAGACAAAGTTTAAAAAAACTTGTAAAGCTTAGTTTAATTTTATCCTCTTATTTTGTTGTCATGGCCTAATTATATTAGCCGATTCCTATCTTCAGGAACCAACAAGTTTTATTTAAGAGTTTATATCCCAACAGAGCAATTATCTGAATTTTTGGAAACCCACTTTCTTTTGCCAAACAAATTTCAAACCATAATCCTGCTTTGCTGTCTGTCAACAGTTGTTTTTGCACAATTGTAAAATAACAATCATTAGAGATAATGTTGCGGTATACATAATAAGCTTTATTAAGGGGTGCCACCCATGTATACAAGTTGGATTTTGTTCCAATAAGCATGGACATACCAAGAAAGAAATGAGTATTTCTCCACCCCCCTTCAACCATATTGAAGGAAGTGAATCAACTCCTAAATAAACTCTAAAATTGGTATTTCAAATGTGCTCATTTCAATTATAATTAGACGGGTGTGACAGCAGGCGGAATCTCTGGTATGTAATGATGGAGCAGGATAACGGGAACACGAACTCGAACTTAAATCTTCAACAGGTTCAAAAAGATCTGCAGGTCAGGGGTATAACAAGAGTTAAACAGGCGGTAGGCAAACAGGCTTAAACAACGATAGGTAACTGGGAACAAGTTCGCGCCCCACCATTTGTTAAACCTTAGGTCTAACTAAATGATGCATGGTGGGGGTTTTAAAAATGTTTATTGGTAAAAACTTGTTACGGAATATATGGGAGCGTTATTAAATACATTTTAACTATTCATAAAAGCACAAATATCAATTCTTAAAGAATCTGTTACATTCGTTTGTGAATTTTACAAAAAGGAGTTTTAGTTTATGTAAACACCCAGCAAAGTTCCCATATACAGAAATAATTGATTCCAACCATGATCTGACATTCTTTGTTAAAAATACGCACTTTGTACTCCGTTACACTATCTATCTATATATTTTTATTAGTCTATCCATCTATCTAATTTATCAATCAATTTACAATTTTAAGGTCAAAAATCAAAGACGACTTTTAAAGGGGTCGAGAAAATATCAATGACCCACAAAATTTTATTTTTTTGCTGTCAGTTAGGAAGGCCAGCTGTCATCAAATCATAGTCAGAGCAGCTTAGATTGGATTCATAAAACAAATTACTTGTACTTTGACTAGATCTGAAATCATACTAAATCCAACCTCAAAATTTTGACTTATGAATGAGCTTTGACTATGATCTGAAATCTAACCTTGTAGCTATGATCTCAAATCATAGTCAGAGTCAAAGCAAGTTACAGCTCGACAAACAAATCGGGCTATAGTTGTGATTGGCATTAAAGGGACTGTGAGCGTAATTACAAGTGACCCCCAATACAAAGATTTCGAAAAAATTGAGACTATGAAGAAACTAAACAAAATAATATTTCCTAACAAAAATAATGATATCCACAAAACCCCATTCGTGAAACCCGGGTCTCAAAACTGGTTTCCATAACGATACCCTGTCTTAAGTTTTGGGCTCAGTGGTTTTCAAGATATGTAAACCAAGTTCTCTTTTTACTCTTTTTACTTTTTAATGTTGTATATCTAGCATTGCTTGTAGGATCCTTAAAATTATGCTTACAGTTCCTTGGAACATGTTACATTAGGTGTTCCTTAAACAGTTTTAGGGCGTTCCTCAAAAAGTTTACAAGTTAATATCTATACTTATATATTTAAAACAAAAACTATTTCTAGACAATTTGAATTTAGGCTAAATTAAAAAAAATCCAGGTTTAACAATAAGATATATTAATAACAATAATAATATATTATCAAATATTTTGAAAACTTAATTACATAATACAAATTACAATTTAAATTAGTTAAATAAGACTGGTTTGATCATTGTTCATGAACAAAAAAATAGCATTTATTAAAAAGCTTATTAATTATTAATTTATTTATGTTACCACTTGATTTTTCAGAATAAAAATGTAAAATTGCAAATTTTAAATTTTGTTTTGTTTTTAAACAAATGCTCAACTGTGTATGAAGAATGTAAAATTCTCAATTTGTTTGTTTCTAAATGCATGGAGGTTTAATGCAATAATTTAATACATTTTACCACTTAATATAAACAATGGTGAATTCCTTGAATGCAACTTTTCACCCCCACCCCCCATGATGTAATTTCGTGTAATTTCTTTAACATAATTTCGCGAAATTTTGTAATGATTAGGCGTAATAAGCGAAACTATAATTATGTGTAATTACGGCGTAATTTTGCGTAATTTCTACAACGTAATTTTGCGAAATTTTGTAATGATTATGCCTAATAAGCGAAACTATAATTACGCGTAATTTCACGTAATTTCTACAAAGTAGTTTTGCGAAATTTTGTAATAATTACATCTATGAAATTTTGAAGTTTTGACTTTTAATTTAAATAAAGCAACTAACTTACAAGGAAAATAATGTCACGCAAGTTGAATCAGAAATTTATTTATATCAAAAAATACATAATTTATAAATTTTCAATTTTCGATGACTTGTTAATATTTCAACCTACTTTCTTAAGTTTACCTTCCTTGTTTGAAAAAAAAAATATAAAATCGTCAAAATATGTTTGACATGGTTGTTGCCAGCATATCCTTACACATACTTTCCCACTATAATTATTTCTGAGAATTAATATGTACTTTATTTATTACGGAATTGTTTCGCATTACGTAATTTCGCGTAATTACGCATTAAATCCGCGAAACTAGACTTTCTTTGTAAATGTAATAAACTCGTAATTATGGGTAATGCTCCTTCGTAAGTGAAAGAAAGTGTTAGGCGTAATTACGCTTAATGTAATTACAACTGGAAACCCTACTCTTAAGATGTAACTGATTATTGGGAGAAACTGAAGTGACAACGTTGTTGTAACTGTTTTAACAGTTTTAACAGTTCTAGGAGCATCCAGTGCTATAAAGACAATATTTTTATAGTACATTGGAAAACATGCGGAGTATCTAACCTTATCATACAACCTTGATTTTAACAAGTAGAATCTGTAATATATGAAATATGAATTTTGAACACAGCATTCAGACTAATGCGCCAACTACTGGAGTAAGAAGATCTGAACACACACCACACACAGGAACATGCTTCGTTAAATTGTACTTAATAATCCGCATCTCCTGATTACATCAAAACATTATAAGATATTTAGTGAAACAAATTCTGAGGGCGGAATTAATAAGTAGTGAGAAGCTTAGTAGTTCAACTAAGTTGGCATAGTTGGCACTTTCCCTATTGTGCTACTGGGATTAGAAACACTGAAAAATCAGAACAAAATCTGTCATGTGCATTAAATCCCAACTCTGAACATAATCGACATTTACGTTGAACTAAATTTCAAATTAGATATTTGGAGAAAATAGGTTAAAAGATTAAGTAGACTTAATTTTCTTACCTATATCTATAGAAAATTTATTTTAGAAAGCTTGTGAAAAAACAAAATTAATTAGACTTTATATGGTTTACACCCTGGGTATACATAAGCTGTCAACAGAAACAATAACTCATGAGGGTGAACACATAAAAAACATAATTTATTGTTTTGTTTTCCTTGGCGCTGCACTTTCCACATAGTAATCTTCCGCAGTGCCTGCAGTGATGCTTCTTTGTTGTTAAACCAAAATAAAAAATGTAAAATTAAAACTGAGAGATTAAAGTATTGTACAATATTTTTTTCAATTAAAGTGACTAATTCTGAAACACTTTCTTTAATTCATCAAATCTATTTCTAAAATATGTAATATCATTATTAAGGCTAAAAGTACTTTAGAAAATAGTTTTTAAATTGCATTTCTGAAAAATAAATACCCCTGTAAACTCAATTAGTTGTATTAGCTTTCTATATTTACCAGGGGTTCACCTATTTCTTGCATTATCAAACTACCATTACCCTAAGAAACGCCATACAATGAATTTCTTGAAGTTTCTTATTTTGATCAGAGCTGTACCAGTTAGTCAGGATGAATCAGGAAAATGGAAGTTTAACTGGATATCCTGGCGTGCCCTAGTTTCCTTCTCTATCTGGAGCTTTATACCAATTCTACTGCTCACTTTCAACTTTATTCAGGCGGGGGTCATTAGTTTGAATTATGGAACAAAAATCAATAAACTATTATTTTTCTATATCAAAATTGACCAGGACACAAAGAGATATATGTCAAATAAAGATTCCTGTTTTAAATTTTAACCTAAAATCTGCTATACACAAATCAGCAGTTACAAAACTTCTAGTATCTAGTGTTAAAGCTGAAATAACTGATCAAATACTTCCAAGAAAATTATAACTTTAATTATTTTTTTTACAAGTGTTTCATAATTTATTTTTTATTATTTTTATAAAACAAATGGTATGAGACATGGTTAATAATTTTGAATGTTCATCTTCTTTTTTCTTTCTCTGTCTTGCACATTTGCAGGTTCTCTTTTTCTTGCTTCTCTTTGCCCATCCATTTATGGAGCTGTTTTTCTAAGAATGTTTACTAAAGGCTGTCTTTGCGCCAATAAAAGTCAGTGCATGATCACTCTTTCATTAAATAGATGTCCCCCTCTCTGATTTTTTGTTTGTTTTGCTGATTTGTAAGTGCTGCCTCAGCTCTTCAAATTCTGTGCTTGCATTTGCTAGGAAACCCCTTCTCACACTTCAAGTTAGTTTCTATTTACAGCAAGGGAGCAATAGCTTCCCTGCTTTAAACTATACATTTTTCTTTCCTAAAAAAGGAGGGTTGCCGTTCCAAGGAAAGATAATCAAGTGACTTGACGAGAGGTAATTTTGATGTAGGATCCAACAAAGAAATGTCCTTGAGTCTCATTTCACTGTGTGTGAGAAGGTTAGATGGTAGGTAGAGGTTTGTAGGAGTGGTGTATGTGAAATGTTTTGTTAAAAAATGCTTCATTTGTCCAAATGCTATACTGTTTCCTAGTACAGCGGAATTCCTTTACAGGTAGTATCCCATTTAGTATGCCCGCTGGATGCAGAATACAGAGTTCCCTTTTTGTCAGTTGTGAAGCAGGGTCCTTCCAGAAAGGACTTTCTGATTGCTAAGTGGAGTGGATATAAAACTGGATTAGTTTAGAACACATAAGCTCTTTGTTATTCCTATTTATTCACTTAGTACCCCAACCATGGTAACTGTTTTAAGAAAGAATGCTAGCTTATTGAGCATGCGGTTTAGGGCTGCTTTGTCTTCCCTCCCTCCTATGTTTAGACATCTTTCTCAGCGTCCACTGCAATAAGTGCAAAGAGCTTTCAGAGCAGAGCTCTGCTCACTGAGGCTATTATAAAATAAGATTTAGAAAAACAATTTAACTTCACATATTATAAGGAAACCATTGAAGCCATTTTCTTAAATTCAATTTTAATGACCCTTGCACTCAGGTCAAAATGGACCCAAGCTCTCCAACAATTGCTTTAGGTTCTGTATATGGAATATCTTACAATTCCCTTACAATAAATATAATTATTATGGCCCTCATCCAAATTCCTCTAATGGCAAAGATGGTTGAAAAGTCAAATGTAGATCCAAACAGAACAAGATACACCAAACTTTATCTTGTTTTATTACAGATTCTTAGTTCCGTCCTCCTTCTAGTAGTTTATGTTTATCAAAGAAGAGAAAGGAGTATATATCGAATTATTTATTTTGCTCTGGCATATCTTGGAGTAACTGCATTGAATACTTTTCTACTCTTAGTGATAAATGCCATTTGCAATTCCTTCATTGAAGAAACCAAGCAGGCTCAGAAATTGTCAGAGGTTTGTAGTTTGATTACTGAATCCTCCCAACTTGTATTTAAGCTAAGGAGTATCAAGACTGCATTTAATCCACTACTTTTTATCATGCTACCCTTAAATGTTGTTATGTCTCTTGTTCTTTCATACACTTGCTATACTCATCTTGTGGATGAACAATATTTGGAGTTTATCATTAAATTTTGTATGCTGGCTGGGATAGCTTTAAATGTGTTTTATTATACCTATTTCTGTAATATTACTCATCAGGCACTATCCAACAACAATGACAAGCTGAGGTAGATAAATTTAAACAATGAACTCTTATTAAAAAATAGAGGGCAAATATTTATCAATATTTTTCACAATAAATGGACATTTTGATGGTACCAGTTAAAAGAGTTTCTTGTGAGACACATTCTCTAACAAGTGTGATCTCCAAACCCTTAGTAGATATAAGAAATCTGTGCTTGTTTTCTGACAGCTGTAAGTTTATTTCCAGAAAAACTGCTGGAACAATTTCTTTTCTTTAATAATAGATGTTTTTTATTATCAATACTTCTTATGTTCAGAAAAGTAGCACTCAACAGTTGTGGGGAAGATAAAAATGATTTACTAATAGGTAAAAACAACAAAGTAAAAATATAAATATATTTAATATTTTAATTTTAGTTTTAGCCATGATAGAGGCAGAGGGACCGTTTACAGCTTATGACTACTTCGAAGTAAACAATTCATCCTTTATGTCAATCATCAGTCAGACCATTGGATATCTAATTATCATGATAACTTTGAAGTAAATCAGGGTTGCCAACCTTAGTTTTTTCTTATCTTTTTGGTGTATTTTTAGCCCTGAGCAGGGTAAGATTTTTTCACATGGTCACAACCTAGTGTTTTAAAAGACCACAAGATTTAGGTGTTTTTCTTCTTATTTTTAGATTTTAGACAAGAAAATTATGAATCACATGATTTTCACAGAACAAACATGTTTATTAATTCTGGATTTATGAAATGAATAAAAGTATTATTAGAGTTGTCTGTTTTTTTATTGACAAGTTGGTATCTTTATATTCCAGGTGGTTGGCAACCTTAAAGTAAATTAGAATTTCTATACGGCAATATTATAGCAATACCTTTAAAGTAAATTATAATATCTATATAACAATACCAAATTGATTTTTTTGAATAAAGTATATTATTATTCTTTTAGGTCTCACTTCAACTTTTGTAATTTAGTGTGATGCACCATAATCATAATCACGATGTTTAATAAGTGTTCACATATTGTTCACTTAATAAATAAATAAATTACTATTATTAATTATAACTGTTTACCAAAGGTTTTAACCTCACAGCGGCGGTTACATTAAGAAAATTACATTTAACTGCCACAAAACTCAAGAACAAAAGATATAAATGTATTTTACATTTTCATCTTGTAACCAAAGTTTATTCACCAACACCAACATTTTAAAACATTCTTTATTCTGCTTAACTCCTAAAAAAAATATAAAAGAAAAATAATGAAATATTATACCTTAGTTTGACATTATTAGCAAAGATCACCATCCCCTTGCCAAGGCTCTGTTCCAAGCACGTCAAGCAATCTACAAAAGCAAGATTTAGTTAGTCTGAGAGCCAATTTTAAGATTTGAGCCATGGCTCAAACATGGTTGGTTCCACTTTAAATTGTATTCAGTGTTTCCAGATTTGAGTCAGCACTCCATTGAAACCAGTTTTTGCTGGTTCAGCAAGGATGTTTAAATTCTTTAAATTCAGCCTCCAGAAGGAAATTAAAAAAAAAAAATTAAAAATACATAAAATTACACTGACCAATGGCCATGTGTCAAAAGATTAGAAATACCCACGATTCTCTACCCCTTTAATTAAAACATAAATTAAATTGAAGCAGTCTGATGTCAGACTGTATGACCAGGCAGAACAGTCCAAACCAAGACCTCAAAGGTTGCCCTGCTCTGATATAATAATGTAAACCAGTTGTGCATGTACTTAAGTAATTTTTATTTTGAATCAGATGTTATCATTATCACTAAAGTTGAACAGTCTAAGTCAAGGACAACAGGTTGGGCCATACAATTTTATTTTGTTTAAAATTATTGCATGAAAAGATTTCTTTTGGAAAGTAAAGACTAGAAGAGATAGACTAAAGACCCATATAAATGTCATCTTCGGGCGTATTTAAGGGATGGGGGTGGGCTCATCCCCCTTTTGCATCAGTGAAATATATGCTTTATGGGGGGTTTGGGCCTCTCCCCCCCCTAAAAAGAAAAAGAAAGGTAAGCCCTTCCTGGGAAAAAAACCTGAATCCGCCTCTCTTAACATCTTTAAAACTTTATGTCTAGTTCTTAACCACTCTTAAATCTGTCAAAATACTAAAGACCAAAAGATATACTTCAATTCAAAAACTGGCCCATTTAGACTTCTAACAGAGTTTTTCATTCTACTTAGTTTCAGATTTTCATTTAAAACTTTAATTCTCCAGAAAAATTTTACTTTTCAAAATAGAGTGACAATTTAGGAGGGAAGTCAGGATTCTTATTCAAAATTTCAGTTTTTACTTTTCTAGGATCTTTTTTTTTAGATAACTAAGTCCTTTCCCAATAACCTGGTCAACAATATTATCATATTTAGAGACAATTTCTTTTAGTTTTTCATTCGGTTCTTTTAATCTTCCCCTTTTAATGATATCCAGGATTTCGATTTTCTGTCATTTGATGAAGAGTTTTAACTAGTGAGTAATATATCCAGCAACATAGTCTGTACCCAGCTAACATAAAGACCGACGGCGGTTATACCGCCTCGTTCTACGACAAACTTCGCTGGAGTTGGGCGGAGCTCCGATCACCTGGTTCGATGTCGGTCTTGGCGGTATAGTAAAAGGATCACACCCAGATCTGTCGTATGTACGAAATCCTACATGCGACAGCGCACAAATGAACTCCAAAATCTACACTTTGACATCGGTGCTTTGGAGTATATACTACAGCGATGACTTCTTCACCAAAATCTACATTCGATATCGGAGAGGTATACACCGATATCAATATACTATATCGGAAAAAATGTCACCGAATTCAACATACTACATCGTAGACTTTCTCACCGAATTGTCAGCGTACTACTACCATACTCAGGGGTGACTACAGGATTTTTTCATGGGGGGTGGGGGAGCCCCTTTTTCTAAAAACTATGATGTTAAAGTTAAGTCAAGTTTAAAAATCCTATAATCCCCCCTGAGTATGAAAGAAGTATGCTGTATACGCCCCTGCATACTGCCTAGTGCCTACAAAAATAAAAAATGGTTTAAAAGTAACAAAATGTATTTTTGTGCTTGAAAAATCTGTGATAACAATAATTTTCATAACAAGAATGAATATAAAAATATGCTGGCAAAAACATGATTATTTTAATTCCGCCTGTTTACAAAAATATATGCAGATAATTGAATTGTGCATGTTTACAAGAATATTTGCAAATAATTGAATTATGCAGGTTTACAAGAATATATGCAAATAATTGAATTATGCAGGTTTACAAGAATATATGCAAATTGTTAAATTATGCATGTTTACAAGAATATAACAAATAGTTGAAATCTGCGTGGTTACAAGAATATATGCAAATAGTTGAATTGTGCAGGTTTACAAGAATATATGCAAATAGTTGAATT